AGCTTCACAAATGAGGGCTGGCAGGGGTAGACGAATTGAGCTTCCGAGGATCTTTAGAGAGTGTTCGCTGCCAAGCCGCGCTGGGAGGCCAGGGTCTGTACTTGGGTATTGCCCCACGCTCCCTGCAAGCCACCAGGCTCACCACCCTGCCCGCCCACTGGTCCCTCTGCTCATACCCAGGCCCACTCACATTCTGACCAAAGCCTGTAAGAAACATTCCCAGGGCCTCATAAAGTCCCACACAGGATGGAGTGGATTTAGTTTTCAGACAAGTTGGCAAGGATGTGGGGAAAGAACAGGAATGAAAGAAATTTTCTCAGGAAGAGGAGACTTTGGGGGTGGGGGAAGGGCAACCATCTACAGACTATCCGAGGAAGAGAAGGTAAACTATGATCTGGGAGCCCAGATTGTTGAACCATCAGCAATGGGTAGGTGCTCTAGGCTCTTAGAGTTGGGTTCAAATCAGGAAGCACCCTTGAAGGAGTGAGTTCCCTGACAGGGGAGGCATGTAAACAGAAGCTGCACCTCTGCCACCTGGGGTGGGTTTGGCAGAACCTGTGCACGGATGCTACTCTCCTTCAGCTCAGAAACTCTGAGAAAAGGAGATTAAGCAGAGCAGGAGAAGGGAGGGGGGAACAAAACAGGGCCCAAGGCAAGAAAGGAGCCGCCACAATAGCAGCTGCAGAAACAGCAGCTCGAGATGGAAACATGTTCTTATTTGTGGGGAACTTGTTTCAGCAAATGAGACAGTGGTGATGCTCAGGCTGTCTCCTGAAATGAATACCATCTGGGAAAAATACCCAATTTAACGGGACCAGTTCTTCCCCCAACTCAATGAACTGAGCCACACTGTGCGCCCGCCCTGATTTATCTGTTTAGAAAGAAGCTCTTTAGTCCCATGAGTCAGGCCGCCTCGCTGTCCCGATGAGGGCTCAAAACCACAGAGAAGTCACACATCTGAGGCTTTTTGACAAAACGATGTTTATTATGGCATATATTAGCTATACCCAGAATGGATTAAATGTATCGATACATTTTATATGATAAACATGAACTCAACACCCTAATATTCACCTTAAGAACTAGAACCTTAGGATCCTCCTGTCTGTCCCTGGGGTTAACCACTGTTCCAAGTTTCAGGTTAATTTTCCCCTTGCTTTTCCTTTAAGCCATCCACATAGGTATCCCTAAGTCATATATTGTTTCATTTTCATTGTCTGTGACTTTCAAGATCACTGGACTCATAGTGCATACATCTTTCTGTGACTTTTTTCTTTCACCAAATGTTTGTTGGGGATTCGTTTACATTGATGTGTGTAGCTCTATTTAATTTGTTTTTGTTCTCTATATTATCCCACCTAATGACTATATTTTTTCATTGTCTTGTGGATTAAATAATTGTTTTGTCTTGATTTCCAAATGTAGACTGCTTTTCTAGTTATCTCTTTATCATTGATTTCTAAATGTGGTTTTTATCATACGTTATGATTATTTTATCTAATAAAAGAGTAATATGCAGATTGACCATCACTCCAACACACAAGATAGCTGCCCCCTTGTGGTCAAAAATGACTGCCCCCATGTGGACACAAGATGGCCACTACAAGATGACTGGCAGGGGAGGACAGTTGTGAGGGAGACCAGATTTTCAGGGGAGGGAAGTTAGGGGGGACCCGGCCTGCAGGAGAGGGCAGTTGGGGAGGACCAGGCTGGAAGGGGAGGGCAATTGGGGCAATTGGGCAGGCAGGGGAGCAGTTAGGTGTTGATCAGACTGGTAGGGGAGTGTTTGGGTGGTGATCTGGCTGGCAGGCAGAAGTGGTTAGAGACAATCAGTCAGGCAGGCAGTTGAGCAGTTTAGAGCCAGCAGTCCTGGATTGTGAGGGGGCTGTCCACTGCCCATTTAGGTCTGATCCCACCTGTATCAGGCCTAAATGGGCAGTCAAACATCCCTCAAGAGGTCTCAGATTGGAGCGAGTGCAGGCTGAGGTACACCCCCGTCCCCACCCCCATGCACCAATTTTGTGCACTTGGCCTCTAGTTTTATCATAAGGTTAGGATATATTGGGTCGGCAAGTATGTAATTGCGGGTTTTACACATATATGGCTTCAGTTGAATTTTTAGGTTTGCAGACGTAGTACAAATGTAAAACACATTTTGTTATTTGATAGTTGGCTATTCAGCTGTTAATCAGTAAAAAAAGTTTTTTGATCTGTTTTGTAGTTTTCGTTTGGCGTTCGTTGAAAAATGGAAAATCAAAAGGAACATTTTCGTCATATTTTGCTTTTTTATTTCCGCAAAGGGAAAAACGCATCGCAAGCTCATAAAAAGTTATGTGCTGTTTATGGTGACAAAGCCTTAAAAGAACGGCAGTGTCAAAATTGGTTTGCCAAATTTCGTTCTGGTGATTTTTCACTCAAAGATGAAAAACGCTCTGGTCGTCCAGTTGAAGTTGATGACGCCCTAATCAAAGCAATAATCAATTCGGACTGTCACAGTACAACACGTGAGATTGCAGAGAAGCTTCATGTATCACATACATGCATTGAAAATCACTTAAAACAACTTGGCTATGTTCAAAAACTCGATACATGGGTTCTTCACGAACTGAAAGAATCACAGTTAACGCAACGCATTAGCAGCTGCGATTTGCTAAAGAAATGTAATGAAAATGATCCATTTTTAAAACGACTGATAACTGGCGATGAAAAATGGGTTGTTTACAACAATATCAAGCGGAAAAGATCATGGAGCAGGCCAGGTGAACCAACTCAAACAACATCAAAAGCTGATATTCACCAAAAGAAGGTTTTGTTATCAGTTTGGTGGGATTACAAAGGAATTGTCTACTTTGAACTCTTACCACCCAACCGAACAATCAATTCCGATGTCTACATTGAACAACTAACGAAATTAAACAATGCAGTTGAAGAAAAGCGGCTTGAATTGACAAATCGAAAAGGTGTTGTATTCCATCATGACAATGCAAGGCCACACACATCTTTGGTCACTCGGCAAAAATTAATGGAGCTTGGTTGGGATGTTTTGCCAAATCCACCATATAGTCCTGACCTTGCACCATCTGATTACTTTTTGTTTCGATCTTTACAAAACTCCTTGAATGGTAAAAATTTCAATAATGATGATGATGTCAAATCGTACCTGATTCAGTTTTTTGCTAATAAAAACCAGAAGTTTTTTGAACGTGGGATTATGATGCTGCCTGAAAGATGGCAAAAGGTCATTGATCAAAATGGGCAATACATTACAGAATAAAGTTATTTAGTTCCATGAAAAAATTGTCTTTGATTTTCTTTAAAAAATCCGCAATTACCTAGTTGCCGACCCAATAGTTTTATGATACATATCCTTCAAAATTTGTTGAGCTAACTTTATGAACTAACAACTTACATAAGTGTTCACGTGCCCTTGGAAAAAATAAATATTCTCCTATTTTTGGATCCAATGTTCTCTGCATATCCACTTGATCAAATTTGTTATACTTACTATTAAATCCTTTAAGTGCTTTCTTTTTTTTTTTTTTTTAATCTACTTGATTTATGTTATTACTAGTGACCTGGTGCACGGATTTGTGCACATAGAAAGGAAATTAATTAGAAGTTGGCCAGCAGGGTGGGACTGGGCAAGACAGGCCAAACACACCCTGGATCCAACCTCTCATAATCCTTCCCCAGCCAGCCACATCTGGGGCGGTGGAAGGGTGTCTGTGGAGTGAGTGGGGTCCCTCTGTCAGGTAGGGTCCCTCAGCTTAGTCTGCAGGGATCAGGCTAAAACCATCTCTCTGACATCCCTGAAGGGTTTCTGGATTGTGAGAGGGCAGTTCTTGGGTAATGCACCCGGGAATTGGGCTCCCTCCTCTCTGGTTCTGGGGTGCATTACCCAAGAACCACTGCTGCCTAGTCACGGCAGCTCCGCAGCTGCTATGTTGAGCATCTGCCCCCTTGTGGTCATTGTGCATCATAGCTACAGGTTAGACAGTCAGTTGATTGGACTTTTATATATATAGACATTTGGGCAATTGGTTGCTTAGTCATATATGAGCAATAATGTTAACTGTTCTGAAATTTTGCTGCCTATGATTTCTTCTATGACTTTATCTTTATATTTTAAAGAGTTTAGTCCATTTACATTTTAGTGATCAAGTTAAATTTATTAATATCTTATAATGTTTTTATATTTGACCTTTTCTGCTTTTTTCTTCCCTGCTTTTCTTGTCTTCTTTTGATCTGTACATTAATTAAATATTACTGCAATAATCTTAAATAACAGCCAATGCCAAAGTCTCAGAGGATTGGGGGGGGGGGGTTTCTGCCATGGCTGGTTTGCTCAGTGGTTAGAACATTGGCCCTTGAACCAAAGGGTCTCGAGTTCGAGTTCCAATCAAAGACATGTTACCTGGGTTGCAGGTTTGATCCCTGCCTGGGTCAGGGCTCATGTGGGAGGCAACCAACCGATGTGTGTGTGTCTCACATGGATGTTTCTCTCTTTCTCTCTCCTCCTCCCTTCTTCCACTCTCTCAAAAAATCAATGGAAAAAATATCCTCAGGTGAGAATTAACAACAACAAAATGTATCTATTTCTCATTCTCAGATCTGAGGCTACAGCTCTGCCTGATCTTTTCGTTATCCCATGTTGTGGGTATGGTCTAAGGGTATTCTCCTGGGACCAGGCGAGGCAGCGAGGCTATCTGGGGCAGGTGGCATGGCAGCAGCACACGAGACAAAGCCACAGTATTCGAGGACATTTAAAGCCTCTGTGTTACCGCTCCTCACACTCCATTGGCTGAAACACACAGCCAAGCTCAACAATGAAGTGGGAACTAAACTCTCATGGGAAGGTGGGAAGACAGAGTGAATATTTTCTGAACAATAACACATCCATCAAGAGTGATTGAGATTTTTAGGGCCTTTCTCTCTCTCTCTCTCTCTCTCTCTCTCTCTCTCTCTCTCTCTCTCTCTCTCTCTTTCTCTCTCTTTCTCTCCATTTTATTTCCCTGCCTCACTCCCCTTTGTTTGAGTTATACATTATATGTCTATTCTTTTAGCCATTATGCTACTTATTTTAACGTGCACACTTAATAAATCCTAAAGTTAATTTAGTTTCTCCTCCTGACAAATATTAGGACCCCTGAACTTAGATCACTCTCCTTCCAATTTACATGCTATTTTTGACTAGCATTTTAGTACTAAACTGTGCCCCCCCATACACAAATAATCATTTGTCCGATTCTTTAAACACATCTTCAGGGGTAGGGCTGCTTGAGCAAATGGTCTATCGACATCTCTATGCTTCAGGATCTTCATCTATAAAACAGAAATAAAAACACCAGCTCAGAGAACCAAGTGGACTAATGTAAGAAAGCTTAGCAAATAGTAATGTTTACGAATGTCCTTAGTAAACAGTGTTATTGCTGCTTGCCACAATGTGGTGACGCCCTGGCTCCAGGCACCATTTCCAGGCATCCCCGTGGAATTTACGTTCGTGTGGCCAGTAAATGTGCTAGGAGCTATCTGAGCTGACGCACCTTCTCTCGTTGGTCATTTAATAAACTTTTATTGAACATGGATCAGGAGTCCGATCCAGAGAGTTGCTTGGTGGCAGGAATATCAGAGCTGACCTGAAGCGACAATTACCAGATCCAGACCTCAAAGGAGAAGCCAAAGCAAAGATCTGTCCCCACAGTTGATGTTGAGCCAGAAAAACGGAGAGAACTATCCACCCACCCAGACTACCTAGGTGGGGCTGGAAGAACAGTCTGTCCACCCAGACAATACCACGCCCTAAAGCCCGTCCACCCACCCACCCACATAGGAGTTGTTGAGGAGTAGCCAGTGGAGGGTGGAAGAGTACAGGGTCACAGAAGCCAAGTGGAGAACGTACTTCCAGGAGGAGAGAGGTCAGTTGTGTCAAGTGCTACTGGGAAGTCCAATAGGATGCGACCTGAGAATAGCCCACTGGGCTAGGCATGCCATCACACTTCATGCTCCTACATCCCTCTGGAGGTGGGCCCAGAGGGGCAGGTGTCTTGCTGAAGATTACGCAAGTGGGAAGTGCTCGAGGCAGGATTTAAATACCCCCAGCTGAGGGCTGAAATACATAGGCTCTGTCAAGTGACTCTGAGTTGGTCTGTCCTAGGACATCCAACCCCCCAGGCAGTCATAGCACACATGTCCTGATGACTCACTACCTAACAAGCTCAATTCTAAGGGCTTGCCCCCGTGAGGTTGCTTGCTCTTCACAAGAGTTCCAGAACATTCTATAAGGTGACAAGCTGGGTGGGGGTGATAACATTGCCTTTTGAGGAGAGGTCTCAGCATCCTGCTGCACACCCATTTCACAGCGGAGGAAGAGGAGGCTTATGAGGTATAGCAACTTGCCCGACATTGCCCAGAAAGCCAATGGCAGAGTTAGGACTCAGACCCTGGCAGTCTGACTCCAGAACCTGCCTTCATTACCCTGAGCCAGAAAACTCCTTCTGGTTTGTCCTTCCCGGGTTAAAATCTTCTTAAATAGCAGAAATTCAGCTCCTGCCTGCCTTGACCTGCCCAGTTCTGAAGGTTTGGGCCACCCTTCGAACTGCCCAGGTGCTGGATGGAGAAGGGGAAGGTGCTGGAGACAGGAAAGAAATTGCACTTGTCTGAACAAATCGTTGAGGCTGTTTGCTGATTGGAGTGGGCCAGGGCCAGGGGTTTAGACTCCCTTCCCCCACCTGCTTGGCAGAGGACACTGGTGTTGATCTGTTGGGTTCATTTGCCTTCCTGGTAAGGTTTCATTTGAAGCAAGGGCTGCTGAGGTGGGGGGGATAAAGGTTTGAAAACCAATGGCCTCACATTCATTGGTGTTGAAACTTGAATATGGTTAGGATACTTGTTAACGTACACATGCGATCAGCTGTATGAGGGGCCCCAGGAGTTTCTGGGGCTCTGGTTGGAGACTCAAGTGGGGAGCATAACCTCCTCTCTAATACGCCTTGGGTTCTGCTGGGCTTCCCCTCCTGGCCCTGCCTGCCAATACCCATCTCTGAACCCCTCTCAGCTGCACCCACACCTTGCAGCTCTGGGGTGGGGGGTACCTCTTAAAAGCATCCCCACACACACACCTCTGGCCAGCCGGGCCCTGAGCACCTGCGAATGCTCCTCACTAGTGATTGGAAAGCTGGCCTCACTGCCTTCCAGGCCTACCAGGGGCCGAGCGAGAGAGACGTTGAAACAACAGCCCTGCCCCCCTTCCAGCAATCCATCATTATCCCTTCCCTCCCCGGATCCCACCACCAGGTAATTCCATTGTCAATTAAAATCCTGCAGCCTTTAATAACACAGCCCATAATTGCTGTTTTCATCAGCCCTGGATTGGCTGTGCAGGCGCTGGGGGGACCCAGGGTTTTGTTCCTGGGCTGGGCTGTGATAACGCTCTCCAGCTACGTACTCAGCCACACTCCCTCAGCCAGGAGTCCCCCATGGGCGTCAACACTGGGCCAGGAGGGACCAACGTCCGCTACCTGGGGGCCTTCCAGCACCCCCTCCATTCTCCAGGGAAGGAGGCCAGCTCTCCACTCCCCAGAGACCGGATCCCAAGGTGCAGCTCCTGGCAACACGGCAGGGTGACTGCTGGCTGACAATAAAGTGTCACACACTGACTTTGTCTACTGGAGGTCATGCTTTTCCCCACCCACATCTCCTCTGAGGCTCCCCACCACCCGGGCCCCCACCCTGCAAGTGAGGAAGCTGAAGACCAGAGGAAGGAGGATTTCCCCAGGCCACACAGCCAGCCGGCAAGCCCCACTGTTCCTCAGCCATACTCTCTGCCCTTTGACCTGCACAAAATGCTCCACTTTCTTACTCTCAGCCTCTCCCTCCTCCCTCACTCCCTCACACACTCACCTCTCTCCAGCCACTGCTTCTTTCTCTCGGCAATTCTGGCAGAGGACCTGGGGCCCTGCAGATGCCACTAGGAAAGATGGGGGTGTCAGTAGGGGTTGGATCGAGGAGAAGAGGAAAAATGGAAAGGGAACAGGAGGACCAGAGCTAGAGGTCACAAAGGTCAAAGGTTGGAGGCCCTGTGGCCACAGTGCAGCTAGGACAGCTGAGTTTGGCTCTGCCCTATGACCCACTGCAGTGGACCCTCTGCTGTCCCACCCAAAGTCTCCTTAAAATCTGAAGGATTATCCCTGGCTGCTGGTGATGGGGAGGTAGTGGGATTACTCTCTTCTGAAGAGAGCCATTCCTCCCGGGCCCCGAGGCTGGCCTTTTCCTGGGGCCGCTGTGTTTGTGAGTGAGGGGTGCGGGGCTGCTCTGAGGTCTGGTTGTAACCTCCAGCCCTCTCGCTCTCTCTGCTGCTGTCCCTCTCGCCCAGGTGCTGATTCTGAGAGCACCCGGTAACTTCCTGCCCACAGTCTCCACCCACAGGCTACCTACCTCCAGGGACCGAACCTTCTCTTTGGGATTCCTGGTCCTGCTCCCTTCACTCTGCCCACCTCCCTCTCACACCTCCCCCAGGGTCTCCAGACCCTCCACCCACGGCCAATTACCCCAGCCCGGCTCATGCTCTGGGCCCCTCTGCCCCTTCGGGAAGAGGCCAGGGACAGTGTGCTCAAGCTTAGGAGTAACCTCAGGGGCCTCCAGCCAAAAGGACCCCCTCAGTGCCTTTTTGCCCCTGAGGTCACTGTGTCATCCCCATTTGGAGGATGAAGGAACTGGAAACGCTGCCAGCTGCCCCAGTTTGCAGAGCTGGGAAATGCCAGGAGCTCGACCTGTCTGCTTCTCACAGCTCATCGCCCGCCTCCCAAAGCGCCTTCGCTCACTGCTGCTTTGTGAGACATCAGTTCCTTCACCACTCAGTCCTCACTGACGCCTGGGAGGGAGAGTCATAAATGCAGGGCCTGATTTCATTTATCCACTCAGTTGTTCGTTCATTCATTCATTCATTGGACACATTTGTTTTGGGTACCTTACCCTGTACCAGGCACTGTGCTTGGTGGTGGGGACACCTAGGGAAAAAGTGGATAAGTCCTTGTCCGTGTGGAGTTATATTCTGTGGAGGAACACACGCAATAAACAAGTTAAACAAGTAAAATAAATATGCCGTAGGCTAGACGGTGGTACAAGTTAAGGCAAGAAAGGGGCCAGAAAATGTCTGGGGTGGGACAGCGGGTGAACGTTAAGACTCGGTGACCAGGGAAGATCCATGGGAAGGTGACTGGAGTACCGGGTGCAGGGCCCAGCCGTGGACGAAGCTCACCCGGTAGGAGCCTCCTCCTGGGCTCTAGGCGGGCGGGAAAGCTCCAGAGGCAGAGTGCACTGCGGCGGCTCCAGACGCCTCCCCGTCTGCCGTCCCTGCAGGGCAGCCAGCAGGGCACAGCCGCACCCCTGCCTCCCGGGCTCCAGCCAATGCAACCAACTCCAAAGTCTGCCCAGGCCCAGCTCTCCGTTCTGGGTGGCCTTCCTGACACTCGGGACTTAATGAAGCACTGCCTGTGGGCTCCTCGCAAAGACTACTGACTGTATCGTATGTCGGCAGGGCACCCCGAGGACCCAGATGAAATGAATCACTAACCCAGAAATGTCATGTGTTTCCCAAGAAGATGAAGTGGGCCCCGGCGACTCCGCTTCCAGCAGACACCCCAGCCTCTGTGGGAATGTGCTGGCGCTGTCATCCTGGGCGGGGCGCCTAGGAACCCCGGAGCGAGTCAGCACATTCTGCAAATCTGATTAGCTGGTTTCCATGTCTTCATCTCCGTCAGGCGCCCCGTGACAGGGCCCGGTGCCAGCCCAGAGCCCTGTGGCCTGCCGCTGGCAACCTTCAGTGCAGCCGCGCCGGCCACCCCCTCTGACTGCTAACAAGCCCTTTTTCTGAGGGACCGGGGACGAGCACCACGCTCTACCCACCATGTGACCAGAACATCTCTTCGGTGCCCATTGAGGTTAAGATGGAGGAGCAAAGGCATGGCAAATACAAGACACTCTGCCCCGGTCCTTTGGAACCTGAATCCACAAGGCAGATGCAGTGGGAGTTACAAAGAAGCATTCAGCTCAAGACTGGAGGGCAACTGGGTGAGGCTGCGTAGGAATGGGCAGCCGTTATACATTCATGGAAAAGGGGCACTGCCGTGGATCGGCAGCAGGGACCTGGCCTCGGGATCCTGATGTAGAGAAGGCATTGTCACCCCTTTTTATTCATCAGGAAGCCGAAGCCCAGTGGAGGTCACATCTTTCCCACACGGTGCAGTGGCACTCAGACCCGCGTCTCTCCTGCTGACTGACTCGTAAGAGGCATCTTCTTTCCAAGATGTATACATCCCCGCCCACGGGTGGGCCCTGGTCTCTGACACTGGCCCTGCCTGGACCTTCCTTGTTTGGGGGCGCGATGACCCCTGAAGCCTGGGGGAAGTCCTTTGTTCAGAGCTACTGCCCAAAGGGGAGGGTCACAGACCACTCTTCTCTCCATTGGTGTTTCTCGGCTCCATTCCCTCAGGCAACCCCTCCCCCAGCTTCACACCAAAGCAACCTAGAGAGTCAGCAGGGGGCAGTGTGGAGTAGAGGGCAAGGGCAAGGGGTCCTGGATTGGATCTCAACGCTGTGCCATCTTGGGCACCTGGGACTGGATCTCAACCATCTTGGGCAAGTTACGAAGCCTCTCTGAACCCCATTGTATTAGTTTCCTATAACTGTTGTAACAAGTTACTGCAAAGTTATTGGCTTCAAAGAACACAAATACATTACCAGGTAGTTCTGGAATCAGAAGTTTGCCATGGGTCTCACTGGATTAAACTCAAGTTGTCAGCAGGGCTGTGTTCTTTCCAGAGATCCTAGGGACAATGTTTCCTCATCTTTTCCTCAGACTTTCCACATCCCATGGCCATAGTCTCCTTCAAAGCCGGCAGGTGACATCTCCAATCTCTCTCTAACCCCCTTTCTGCTCTAAAGGACCCTGTGATTACAGACAAGGCAGGGTCGTCTCTGAATGTCAGTGGCATTATTCTGCCCATCACACCCACTCTCCTGACTGAGGTTATGAAATGAAGGTGAGTTTGTGTAATGAGAGCCCCAAGCACAGTGTCTATCACAGTGTCTATATGTTTAATATACAGTCCCTGTGAGTTTGTGTTTTAATACTAAATCATTTAAGTAAAAACCAGTTTAGAAGGGAATGCAAATGCATTGGAGAAATGCAAATAAACGTCACTGTGTGATGCCATTTCACACCTGCGCCAGCTGGCTCCTAGTCTCTGGTACTTGGGGTCCACTGAGCTTTCTGACGCTTCCTCAGGTATTTCAAAAAACGCTGTTCTAAGTGGATTTGCTAACTGAAAGTCTCGTGCATGAAATTCAAGGCACTGATTCTAAAGTCTGATGTCACCACCAGCTTGTTTTACAAAAGGACATGCAAAAATCCTAGAATCCTTCCGCTCTTTTCCTTAAAAGGCAGAAAATCAGGTTTCTCTTGTGAGGCAAGCCCTGTGCCTCCAAAGGCCTACCTTCAGGGAGGAAGGAGAGGTTTGGCTGCTCAGGTTCTTACTGCTCAAACCTCCACCCCTGGCTACCAGGACAGCCATGCAATCTATGTGCAGCACAAAGAACCCGGCTGCGGTGCCGGGGTGTGTGTGTGTGTGTGTGTGTGTGTGAGCGAGCTCGGGGACCGAGGTTCAGCCTACACCGCCCTCGCCGATGGCATGTATGCCCCTGAGTTGGCTCTTCCCAGAGGGGGGTGCACAGAGGTACAGGACAAGCTCCAACTCTGCCTCTGAAACTAGACATCCCTCATGGACCATACCTGGTTCCCCTGTATGTGACCAGGGTGCTTCTCAGGTCAAATGGGACCCATCTCAGAAGTTGACAATACTCCATTTTATTGTATACTATTTCATATTCGAGGGGACAAGTCCGTGCCTCAAAGCTTAGCTGTCATGGCAATGCCACATTTCTAAACAAGTGTCTGGACATGCTCATGTCTGCTCATCTTGTCTTGACCAGTCAACTGTTTGCATAGCACTGGGCCTAGAAGCAGTCCTATTCCTGCCCATTGAGGGTCCCTCAGAGACACTCTGGGGCCTTGTGACCTCGCTTTTTGGGAGCTGATCAGGAGCCAAGGGCAGAAGGAAGGTCTGTGAATGACTTGAGGGAGGGCTGTCCAGAGAGAAGGGCAGTGAGGTCCTCCATCAGGTACCCTGCAGATGCTCTCAGGGGCTTCTCAGCTGGCTGGAGAGGCTGCCTCAGAGGGAACATAGACTCCCTGGGCTCTGAGAGGCTGCCTGGCTTGTCCTGCTTGTGAGAAGGCTGATTTTAAAACCTCCACATCACCCTGGACTTCTGGTCCAGGCCCAGATGGCATCAGCAATGCAAGGCACTCTGGTTATCTATTGCTGCAGAGCACATCACCTTAAAACATAATGGCTTCATATTTTTTGTTATTCTCTCTCTCGTGGTTCTATAGAGCTGATCAGGTTCAGCCAGGCAGGTGCTTCTGGCCCAGGGTTGCTTGTGTAGTTGCAGTCAGGTGGAAGCAGTGGCTGGAGTCAGCTATAGGCTCAGCTGAGATGAAAGTCCAGAATGGTTTCTTCGCTCACACATCTGATGCCACTGCTGTGATAACAAGAAGAGCTGGAGATTGGCCAGATCTCTCTGTCTCCCCTCCTGACTTCTCCACGTGGCTGGCTTGGGCTCCTCACATGATGGCAGTCTCAAAGTAGTCAGACCCAGAGCAAGCCTTACCTGAAAGCCAGGTGAGAACTGCAAGGGCTTCTTCTGATGTGGCTTAGAAGTCATTCAGTTGTGTCCACTACAAACTATTGGTGCACACAGGGCCAGCCCATATTCAAGCGGATGGGGGCCATACAAGGGCATGAATACCCAGAAGCATGGTTTATTGTGGGGACCGTCTTTAAAGACTACCTAACCCCAAGTGGGAGCTTCCTATGGCAGGGGAAGGCCAAATGCAGCCAGGGCAGGACAGCTCAACAGTTCCTTCTGACTCAAGATCCAGCTGGACTTCTTCAGAAATATTGTCACTCCTTGACTTCACAATCATTCTCTGTCACCTGCCACATGGATGGTGACTCGGAGCCAGCCCTCCCTAGAATCAGCAACTTTCAGAAATATAAGAGCCTTTTTCCTATATGAAATTGCCCTATATTCCTGTCCTCACTACTTAATCCCAATCACTGATTAAAATCTATATTTTATTAACTAAAGCCTTCTTCATGGTCAGCTAGCTAAAAAATGCTCAGGAATTTTTTCTCCCAAGCACAGTCACAGAATGATTTAACTCCCTAGTGGATTTATAGCCAGACCAAGGAAGTACACAGCTCTCTGTCCATCCTCCCCTGTGATTCTGATCAAGCTCTTCCCTTCCCAAGTCTCAGTTTTCTCCTACAAGAAAAGGGGTTTGAGGAGAGAGATGAGGTTGACCAAGGTAGACCATCATGATCAATAGGTTCTATCTATCTCTATGGCCTTGGACAAGCCTATGTCATGCTCCCAATCTCTCACCTGTAACATGGGAAGTCAGATAAGATGACTCTACGGGTCCTTCCAGCACTATCAATTCCTCAGTTCACACTCCCATCTGGCCCCACTTAAGCATATGCAAGAATGCATTCGTCGCCTTAGGTTTGGGATTCAAGCCTGCTGTTCAGCACAGATTGTTATTCCCATATCCAAGCCACCCAGCAGTTCAAACATTGCAGACAGGCAAGCACTGCCATGGAAACTGATCCGGAATCCATTCACTAGCTCCCGGCTACAGTTGAGTGATGGGTCAGCATGGGTGGCAGGCTGGTGTAGGAGAAAAGATTGAGATGAGGGGTCAGCCAGGCTGGGTAGAGCTCCAGACTACCATTTGGTTGTGGAGTGACCCTCAAGGAATCCCTTAACGTTTCTGTGCCTCGGTTCCCCCACCTGTAAAGGGAGAGCTACAATGCACACTTTCTCAGAAAGACTGAAGAATTAAAGATCATACTTGGAAAAGCCTGATGTAGTGTCTGTTATTATTCAATCCGCACACTGGAAAGC